CCTCCCTAACTCCCCACCTACACTCACCTTTACTGGCTCCATCCCCGCCTCTTCGACCTGTTTGTTTCCTCTCCACCTATCCTCTCCTCTATCCATCTTCTATCCGCCTCCCACTCTCTCCCTATTTATTTCAGAACCCCCTTCCCCTCCCCCTTTTCTGATGAAGGGTCTAGGCCCGAAACGTCAGCCTCTCTGCTCCTATGATGCTGCTTGGCCTGCTGTGTTCATCCAGCCCTGCACCTTGTTGTCTCGGATTCTCCAGCATCTGCAGTTCCTACTATCTCTGATTCAAAAAGCTATTACAGCCATTTTAGAATTTTACAGGATCCTCACAGCAATAGATTAAGCTGTAAGAAACTTCTTTGGATAATTCTAGGATATGAAAGGGACCCACTCAATTGTGTATGTAATTGGTTTTCAGTGTAAGTGCCACACTGCATGTGTATTAGATTTGGATTGTGGATTCTGTCATGACCACTAGTTTATTATTAGAATCATTATTTCAGATTTATTAAAGTTTAAAAGAATTCCCAATGCTAGGGTGTGGAATGAAACATTAGTTTTTGGATTCTTCAAACTATCGATTGCTGAAGGGAACAATTGCACTCTGAGTACCAATTTAATACTGTGGACATCATGAATACGTTGGCTGAGAAACTAATTGACATTGTGTATATTTTACAGCTATAAAATGGGTACACAATCCAGTTCATTGGATGGTAGATGAACAGACGTTCCTTAAAATGTACACTGCCTGTCATATTGGTGAAGGCAGGAGAAGAGACATCTAACACCAACCCGAAACCGATTGGTGTCCCAGAATTAGTCTGCCTGGCGACACAGTGATGCAAACGTGAAACTGATTTTGCCAACATGCTGCCTAACACACCCCAGCTAGTGTTGCAGCTCACCACTCCCACATAAATGAGGGCAAAGGCCAATGTCAGATATGTCTTGGTTTTTCCCATTTCAGGGCAAGAAGTGAGCAGGTCAGAACCTAGGTACATGTAGTTGCCATCAGTCAAATGACCATGAAAAGCACTGTTCCAAAGCAGGGTCACTGGATTTGAATCATTAACTCTGCTTTCTCTCCACAGATGCTGCCAGACCTGCTGAGTTTCTCCAGCACTTTCTGTTTTTGTTTGTGAAAAACATTAACCTGGGTTACCAGTAATCCCATAATTTTGAAAAATGGTT